ACAAAAGGAAGCATTTGAATTCTTATTGACGACTCTTTCTAAGTAGCAGCCAAAAAGGACAGTTGTCACCCTCAATTTTTTTTCTAACAAATTTTCCTTGACACAAAGACATTTGTTTACAAAATTAGGGACAAGATTTTCAACAAATAGGAGAAATATAGACACCCTCAATTCAAACACCAACATATAATGTTCCCTTGTCACCATCTTATGGTGTTTATACATTTCAACTTGTTCAATTCGCTCGTGCATGTAACAATGTATTTGATTTTAACGAAAAAATTCTCGGTATTACTGAAAAATTATTACACCAGGGTTTTCGATATCACAAACTAGTCAAAATATTTACTAAATTTTATCATCGGTACAAGGACCTCATTTGTAAATATAAATCAACATTTATACATCTTATACGTTCAGGTATTTCACATCTAATCGTTTATGGTAATATTATATACAAAGCACATACATGTCTGCATTCACCTCAAAAGCTAACCAAACCTTTAAACAGACTTTTCAGAAGGGATATAGCTACGATACTGTTGTCAAGTCATTAAAGATGGCATATTTTGGTATTTTACATTTTGGAAATAAACACATTTATTCTAAAACCAGTTCATGGCATGATACGGGTTGTTCTTCTCGTTTATTTTATGATGGTTTGATACTAAACCCCTAACGGGAGAGATTGTGCTTGATTTTCAGATGATAGAGACATAATCTTTCCATTAGTTTAATTGAGGTCTGGAGCTGGCATGTCAGTAACTTCTAGTAGTCCTTTGTTAATTTATGTATCATTGCCATTTGGCTTAGTTTCTTTTGTTACCTACTCTGATATTGGACACGGACTTCTTTTAAGCTGAGTTTTACTGTGCGTATTGCTGTGTGTTTGTTTATTCTACGGGAATTTCTTGATATGTAGAAGTTCCAATGGAGGCCTTCGGCTGTTGTCTGCTCTTTGGTCGGGTTGTTGTCTCTTTGACACGTTCCCCATTTCCATTCTCAATTTTACTGGAATGGTAAATCAAGATTTATTATTTTTAAAGAAAACAATCCATCAAAAGATACCAAGACTAATTTCGTATAAAGGTTCATGACTTTAAATAGCAGAAAAAAAGTATTTCTATTCTTGATGTATGTGGACGAATATGTCTGACTACACGTTATAGCTCAAGATGAAAAAAAATAACAATTCATCCCGAGAAAGCAAAACTATTGATTTCAATATTGTTATATAATTTCAATAACATTAATGATAAGAAACCTTTCTTGATGACATGCTAATTTTATTAATTTTCACACTTTATTTTGAAATACCTATTCTGCTAATTGCCAGTACCAGTACAATGGTTTCCTGTGATAAAACTTTTAATTTTTTTTTATTTAGAAAAAGTACTCTCATTTTTACCAAATTTCCTTTAATACAAGTGAGGTTTAAAAGACTCATCACGTCGAATACCGGTACATGATTTTCAATAAAGCGTGAAATATCGATAATCTGACTTATTATTTATTTTAATACAGATTTTTGTAATTTCATATTGCTCACATTTTATTGAAAACAACCCATCGTTTGGTTTCAATACTATTGATTTGAAAATTCAAGTTTACGATATTCAATGAGAAGAAGAGTCCTTGGCGTGTTTATTATTGACAAAAATGTGAGTAACTGTACATGTAAGCTAATATAATAAACATTTAAAGCAACATAATCATTCCTTAGATTCAAAACTACTATTTCTAAAACCGGAAAATGATTATGAACAAAAACAAGAAAAATACACGCTCTTGAGTAATTCTCGAACATGTTTGATAAATGAACTCTTCTATTGCTGATATTTCATGTAAAGCAATGCATTCGAAGCACTCTTAATATATTCGAAGAATAATCCGTATGGTTCCATATATATCTTAAATCTGCTTCGTTTCTAGTTTTGGCATTAAAGAAATATTAGCTCTGTAATGAGATAGTAACAATCCAGTCTTTTACTAGTTTATCTTAAGGCTCAATAATGTTGATTTGCTTGTCTTCCCTATTTTCCATATTTCATATGTGCAAATTTTTTTTCTACCTGCATGTTATACTCCCATTAAAATTTTTTCAAAAAGGAATATTTGACGTGTTTGTAAAACGTGTTCTCGTTCTTTAAATGCATGTTATAGTTGTGACTGAACTCCTTATAAATACAAGGCTTGATATTGTGTACGCCAGACGCGCGGTTCGTCTACAAAAGACTCACGATTGGCGCTCGATTCAAATTATTAAATAGGCCAAGTTAGTCTTTTTTTATGTTGCATTTTTGAAAGTATAAAGCATTTACTTGTAATGTGTGGACCATGCGGGGACTTTATATAAAGAAATGCTATCTAAGGATTTCCCTCCTATTTTTTAAAATAACAAGCTTTTTAAAAGAGTATTATAAATTGATAGTATATAAATAATTGAACTTGAAAGCAGAAAATGTTCTAATGGCATTACATGGATTCTGAATTTCTGACCAATGTCAAAAACAAGAGTAACGAACATTCGCCACGGCCACTTGTATTTGTAGTATTTGTTTTTTTTTTTTTATCCATCTGATGAGTTAAGACTCTTTTAATTGATTTTTATAGTTCGTTCTTATGTTGTACTGTTACACCACTGTTTCAGGTTAGAGGGAGAGTTGGGATCCCGCTAACATGTTTAACCCCACCACATTCTGTATGCATGTGCCTGTCCCAAATCAGGAGCCTGTATTTCAGTGGTTGTCGTTTGTTTATGTATTACATATTTGTTTCTCGTTCATTTTTTGTACATACATTAGGCCGTTAGTTTTCTCGTTTGAATTGTTTTACATTGTCATTTCGGGGCCTTTTATAGCTGACTGTACGGTGAACTATAGTTGTTAATTTCTGTGTCATTTGGTCTCTTGTGGCGAGTGGTCTCATTGGCAATCATACCACATCTTTTTTTATATATCTACATCCAACCCAGCATAACGTAGAAGTCAACCGGATTTGATGCGATCCAGGTAACTCAATTTATAGGAGATAAAAGAAATGAATGTTTTAGCTTTATTTCTTTCATATGTTTTATATGAAAAAAGTAGGAAGTATACAATAAAGAAAAATAAGTATAAAGGAGACATACAACATTATGTCAAAAGAAAATGACTAACATACATACGACAATATGCAAATACAATACAGAGAGTACTCAATATAACTTTTTTTTTGTATCTAAGATACGTTAATGAAGTAAATTATACATTATCATACATTATTATACAGTATAGGCATACTATCTGCCTGATAGATTTTTTTTGCAAAATAAGTGAAATAAAATACCATGTAAATATTGAATATATTTCCAACGTTGAAATAAACGTTTGAAACCAAAATGGGACAATTATATGTGTCTTATCTCTTCATTTAAATGACTTTTGAATCTTAGTGAGAGAGAAGATAATCACAATTCAACCGCCTTTGAGAGTATTTTTGCGTTCATTTGTTGTTGCATTTAATTTTCAGTGCCAGTCAAACGGTCTAGACCGTGTAAAATTAAATCATTTTAATGCGTTGATAATGAGTTTTTGTCTCTATTTGAGTGTTAGAAAACGTGAAGACAAATATAGCAATTTAATTTGAATTGTAATGTTACGTAGTAGTTATTAATCTACTTCATTTTTTTTGTTCGTTTAGAAGTACCTTGCATTTTTAGACCAATAAAGTCACAGGGCGAAACCTTAAAAATATACACATTTTCGTATCATGCTTAATCTCTTGAGAAATATAATTTCAAATACAATTTATAACAGAATAAATTGGATATTTTTGCTTGTCTTTATTAAGACCATATCAAGATATACCTTCGTAATGTCCAAGAGAAACACATTATTATGCGCTGATAGTATCACAACCCTGAGAGACATTAGTGTAAAGATACAGATAAAGATTTGATAAATTTTCATTTTTTAGTAAGTTTTATCCTTTTGACTTTCAGGAACTAGCTGGTTCATGCCAAGGTCATGGCTGTCAGCTAAGTGAAGTGTGTATTCCAAAAGCAACAACATATTCATGCATCCCTTTGATTGTACAATTCCCGGAAAGAGGAACACGTAAATTCTATTTAGTATGAGCTGTGTATTGAAAGGAAAACGATATAAGGAGTAAAGAACATATCCTTCAATGAAAATTTTCAAATGGATTAACCATTTAACTGATAGTTCAATATTATCGGGTTACATTCATGTTTTATCATTTATTATTATCATCTTATGTCTGTTTAGGCTGCTCATCCAATCTTGTCAATATAACGAAACTATATACAATTGTCATACATGTGGGAGGTTTAGCTAGCAATAAAACCAGATTAAGCCCACCATTGTCTTCAGAAAATACCTGTAGCAATTTAAGTCAGAATGTTGTTTTTCACTTGTTCTGTTGTTTCATAGCGTTTGATTTTTTCAGTATTTATGGAGTTTTCCTTTTTTAATTTGAATTGGAGTTCGGTATTTCTGTTATACTTGTTTGATATGTTGCTGTCGGTCAAAATTGTTTTCTAACAATTAAGTCTTTTCACTTCTTATTAGGAGAAATTGATAATGGATAGATCATCAAGAAAGAAACATTATTAATCATGGGAACATACCTTTTAAAGTTTCTTCTGAGGTTATCTGGATTTTATAAATGTTATTATACTTCAAATTTACTATGTTTCAAAATTGATATAATGTTCTATCTTTTGGAAAGGTTTTTTCAACTTTTCGAAATAGTTAATTGTGTTTAAAAATTAGTTGTTCATCATATTGATCATTATATGCAAATTGGGTGATTAAAATGCTGATTCCTACAGGTGAAAATACTAAGGCAGTATGGTGACCTGTAGTTGTTATCTTCTATGTCATTTCTTCTGTGGTGGAGATTTATCTCATAGGCAGTCACACCACATTTATGCATTTTTTCGCTACAATACAACCACCAAGTCTGCATAATCTAGTACAACATACTTATTACTTCAGGATATCCTACAACTGACGATATTGAAACAAAACAGACAAACGGAAATTCTGAACGTAGTACATCAGATTTTCTTCCAAGTAGCACACATATATCAACAGCAGAAATACTACAAACAACCACAGAAAAGACTACGGATGTTATCGGTATGTCTCACTTGAAATATGTTAATACCACAAGCATAGCTTATACCAGTTCATATTTAAAATGTAACATCTTGTACACCATTGTCAAAATCTAAAGTTGATTTTTATAAAAGCAAATATTCTGCTGTGACTTTTTGATCTGTAGCCTTTCTTCAAACGGCATAACATAGGAAGAACTTCAACTTATGTTGAACAAAAACTCATTGTGTGTGAGGAAAACGCTTTTGTGCTGAATAGGGGACCAAAAAGAAAGATATAAAACCCATGTTTCTGCTTTACAAAGATATATATATATTGTTACGGAAAACTTTAAAAGAAATGCATATGTTGTTAAATGTCACTTATGTTGCTTCAACTACATAAAATGTACACACGTTAGAACATATTTGCTTCTAATTTCATTCCTAGAAGATACATTTCATAATACGTTTTGGGGTGTTTAATTGTACTCACAGACAGGGATTTTAAAAAATGTATTTGAAATTATATCATACAAGCTATACCATGACGTAGAAAGCCGAAATATAAATGTGTATTATTGTTGGTGTGTGTGTTTCAAAAAAAAAATGTAGGAATACTTCTGTCGTTAAAAAAATGCCGAAACTTTATCGCTGCAAGTTACAAGCAAGTACAATTCTCAGCAAGATACCATTCTAAATGTCTCTCAAAGCTATATTAAACATGTAAAAACAAACGTTTGCGTTTGGTACAACATCAGCTTGTTAAAACAAGCACAAAAAAGATGCAAAATCTACATTGAATATCAATGACATGTAGTCATTTGTGTCGTTCGGTTACTGTTTGTTGACACACTTCCCAGATCTCCTTTCATTTATTGTATTGATTGATTGGTATATAACGACACATTCAGCACTATTTTGCTAGTTCGTAGCGGTTAGTTTTTTTTTTATTGGTGAAAAAAGCCTGAGTGCCAATGGAGAACCACCGACCTCGGGTTGGATAATTGACAATCCTAGTAAATTTAGATTGGAGATGAATGCACATGCCACGTGCGGAATTCGAACTAACAACCTCAATGCCGTACAGTAGTTCGACTACTTAGACCACTTGTCCATCGAGACCCCTTTGTTATATGTATAAATAAGACCATAAACTTACAAGAATTTGGAAAAGTTATTTCAACATTTCGAAATAGTTAATTGTGTTTAAAATTTAGTTGTTCATTAAATTGATCATTATATGCAAATTGGGTGATTTAAATGCTGATTCCTGCAGGTTAAATTTGTCAAGTATCTGTAATTTTCAAACATAAGGCACATTATCAACACCATTAAAAGTCGATTAATCATCACCCCGTGTAAAATAAATGTCTTAATTGGCCTTTTTAGAATCTTGAGGACTATGGGTAATTGTATTGTTCGTAATCCCAAAAAGAAAATAACGTCTCATCATTGTTTAGGACATTTTTAACCAATCATGGCATTTTGGTTTACACTTTTGCCAATATTAACCAGAATGCAATAGCTTCTAAAACGGCTAATTGTCATCTACATTATTTTACAGTTAACTAGATAATAAACCATGACGTTGTTGTTTTGACAGCATATAAATTAAGACGACAGTAGCTTACCACATGTACAAATTTTCAAATCTCGTTTATTCGTCAGGAAGAGACACACCAAGGTAACAAACACAAACTAGGGGAATTTCATAAACTCTTAATGTATAAAAACAGGTGCGTCCCTTGCTTAAAAAAACTGATGTACAAATGAAAACTCAGATAGAGGTTATAACACTGAATCATTTACCTTTACCTAGGTTGTCATCGGCTATCATTGGCAATGATTTTACGCCCACCCAGTCTTATAGAGGCCTTCCAATTGAGATTTTGATAATCACTTGTTTCAAATTTCGATACATAACATTAAACTTTTTTTCAACAAAATTTAAAAGGAATTTGTTTTAAACATTCTTTTTATCATCACACCCATAAAGAAATGTGCAGAGCTAATATACTAAATTATAGAAAATAATATATTACATGTAAAACATGTCGATTTTTATTAGAAAAAAAAACTTCAAGTTTATGAGGTTATTTCACAAAAACATATTTTACATAGAAAAAATACTCCCACGTTTGGAACATTTTAGAATAACTTACCGTTTATTCAATGGATAAGATTTGTTTGTGAATAGAGCTCAGGATAATGACAAAAATGTCTTCCTAGTTTTCGCATGTCACATCATTTGAACTGTTCAGTCATTTAGAAGACTTCTACGGTCAGTTTGCTTTGGATATTCAAGCCTATAAGACTACTCAATTGTCTCTATTTCTAAAGGTATATCCGAAAAACTAAAAGACTTTTCAATTTGCATAATGCTTTATGTAAAGGGGAAACTAGTACAGTTTATTACGGTAGCAAAAACAAAAATTGGAAATAAATGAATGAATTAAAAATCAAAAGAAGTAATAAATTAACAAAAAAAAACCCTATTATCTTTTGAATTTGTAGTTTTTTTACGGAAATTTGACTATCGCTTTCCCAATTTTACTGGATTACTGAAAATTTCATGTGACTCCCGTTTTTGGAACCCGGGCTGATATGCATAAAGCTACTTAAGTTAAAATTTGTTCCGAACGGACGGATTTTTCTTCATGTCAAAAGATAAATTAGTACTACAATTGTATATCTTAACTTAAGTGGTATTATGCATATCAGCCTAGATGCATCACTTATTTGTTTTTTGAGTTTTTATGTCTTTGTCTTTGTCAATTGGCTGCTGATTCATGAATTCATGAACGAATATATTAAGTCTGTGTGTTCATCTTTGGGGTTGTGGTTCTGGTATTTCGCTTTTTTCGTGAACGAATGTCTAAATTTTCTTTGTTTATACTCATAGTATTTGTGGCTATGGTTCGAGTATTTAAACATTTTTTTCATATATATAACAACGAAGTAATTATTCGCGAATTTGAACACAGAACAAAATATTTTGTACCATAGATGTAAACACAAATGAAGAAAAGGTATGAAGATGAAATCTTTTTTTCGGCAATGTGTTGAAAATTGTGTAGTAAGTTTGCAGTTATAAACAATTGTAAACACATAGTAGTCAATCATGCATTGCAACTCATTCAGTGGATTGCTCGGTCAATCGCCCAGAAAAAAAATGCAGTACTTGTAAACAAACACTGATATATGTATTATCGGAAGCATTAGAATGCTAAATATTGCATATCCGTGAAAAAGTGTAAATAAAACAAAATTACTCTTATCTGATAAAGTCATTTATTTCATTCTTTTTAGATTTAATTTTTGTATCGTAGTTATCAGTAGCGTATAATGTATCCGAGAGGACATAGCCCATTAAGCATGTGTTAGTTTAAGTAGAATTATATATAACAGCCCAACAATGTTAGATCTGTAAATTTGCGGAAGCAAATTTTTTGTTCTTCCCTGCCGGGATTCGAACGCATACTACTGAGATATCGTGGAACCAAATTGCCTTGCACTATGCCCGACGCGCTAGACCACTCCGCCACCTACGCTCGACAAAAAAAAAAGTTTTATCAAGCGTCGTAACACGGTACATGATATATAAGGCATGAAGATGGAATATTACAGATCAGTTGAATTGTCTATCGTAGAGGATCTTAAAAATTAATGTAGGATGCAGTCACAGAAATAATTATATTATACGTACGTCTGAACCAGTGACAACTATACGATAGATAACTAGACGTCTAGATATTAGTCAACGATTTTTCTTACAAGGGCGCTGGATCGATACGAGATACGATACATGTACGCAATAAATAAATTACATAAACGCCTAAAAAGTGTAAAAAAACAACACCATTATTAAAAAATGAAAACATTAAATGTAATTATCTATAAATATTTCGGACAACAGATATTCTTCATCATTATGATTATGATGTAAAAAGAAGATAGAAACGCCCCGGCTTTGATTTTTCAGGTTATAGATATTTAAATGTGTCCACAGACAAACATCAACATGATCAATATCTTCTCCCTTGAGTTGCCATTCTAAACATTGCACAAATAGCATTCCCTACTGTCAGGCCATACGTGGATTTGTTCCACCAACGATACTGCAAAAAGGCGACTACAAGAACTTCGCGGTCACCTAGAAAATCGGGGGTACAGAAAAAAAGACATTGACAAAGGTTTCTCTCGTACTAACAACATCAGCCGAGATGAACTTTTACAATATAAAGACAAAAAGGTCAACAAGAGAGTGCCGTTTGTGCTGACTTACCATTCCAAATTTAACAAAATGTCACACCTAATCCGCGAAAATTGGAAAGAAAGCGAAAAAATCCTAAACTATCCAAAATCTTTCCCGAGCCACCTGTACTGGCTTTCCCTGGGCCCAAAAGCCTTAAAGACTTGCTGGTGAGAGTTGATTTATTCTCTAAAACAGGCCCTTCGTCTGTGGGTTCTTGCAAGCGATGCGGAAACAAACGATGTCTGACTTGCAAACATATACTTAGTACGCAGACTTTTAACAGTCACTCCACTGGTAAGGAATACACCATATTTTGCAATGTTAATTGCAAGACTACAAATGCTGTGTATCTTCTACAGTGTAAATGTGGTACACAGTATGTTGGCGAGTCAGAACAGCCATTTAACAAACGAATGAACGGCCATCGTAGCGACTATGAATGCAAGCCAGACCTTCCTCTCAGTCGACATTTGAGATCCCCTGGCTACACTAAGGCAGATCTCAATCGACTGACCATTACAATTATAGACAACAGCATTGCTTAGTCTAGGTTTGATAGACTCATTTGGAAAAGATTTTAGATAAGAAAATTAAAAACTTGGCACCAAATGGGATAAATGCAAAGGTTTAGTTCTAATTCGCGCAGTGCTTTTCACTTGGTTTATATTGCATATTACTACACAGTTTCTGTTGCTATTTCTTTACCTTTGTCAACTCTACAATTCTTGTATTATACCAGTTTAGATCGCAGGGTACTATTCATTTGAAATGTACACGTACGCAGA